CACTGTTTAAAAAAAATCATACCGTCGTTAACGAGATTAAAAATTACATAATTAAGTTGAATGTACAAAAACAACAACTGATGTTTATGTTCAAGAGATGAAATTATAGGGAAAAAATAATATATCGGGAAAGAAAAAGCTTTTAAACTTAACTAAAATATTCTAAACTTTGAAGTTTAAATTTTTATAATTAATTAAACACGTTTTTACATTAAAATGGAACAGAGTTGCTAAAAATATTTACCTGCAGAATTTATTTGGAATTTTATTTGATTAACATTATCAATGTTAGCAATTTTGTAACGCCAGATCCACACACTTGTCTTGACGAGTCATCTGATAACATACTTCAAATTCTTTGGGATCTACTTTAATATAATACAGTTTAAAGTAGTCAAAATTTGTCAAATAGTCCCCGAGAAATCCGAGAAATACATACATACGAAATTATAGCCTCCTCCTATTTAGAACTCGGTTAAAAAGTCTCTATACTAAAACGTACGAATGAGTAAAAATCATAACTTACAGCTCTCGGCACAGCAGTACATATAGGTGTATAGTCGTTTTCGCGTAACAAAAAAACTTTCATAAAATGTTTTGTTTTTTTCCCAATGGAGGTACCTTCTCTTCTTGACCTAATCCTTGTATCTTCCACCGACCTTGTTGCAAAACATGGCCAGTGCTCTGCCCCATTTTCTTACCATGATCTTATCTATTTATCTTATAAATTAAAGCCACCAAAAGCAAAATCAAGAATCCTTCTGCAGCGCAATTTTGGTGATATCAATTTAGAGAGATTGCATGCGGATGCTGAAAATATCGACTGGTCGGCTGTTACTAATGCAAGCACAATTGATGAGCAAGTGTCAATCTTTAACTCGTTGTTAATCCAACTGTATGACATCCATGCTCCGGTCCGTCCTGTTCGTATGAAGCATCTTCCGGCTCCGTGGCTTACACCCGAAATAAAAAAACTCCAAAGAAAAAAATTTGTAGCGAAGTCAAAGTACGAATCTAATTCTAATGATAGCAATAAGACTAAATATATTAAGGCTCGCAATCGTTGCAATATAGTGTGTAGGGATAGTCAACGACGCCATATTTATAAATCGGTCATCGAAGAAGATGATCCAGATAAAATCTGGAAGTTTCTCAAGTCTCTTGGAGTAGGTAAATCTAAGCATAACATAAATCCACATAATATAGACTTAAATCTCATAAATCAGCATTTCTCTTCTTCGGCTACTATTAATAGTACAAATAAGTTAAGCACACTAAACTATCTTTCTACTTTACCTACTCCTGATTTTCCCCGTTTTACTTTTAGTCAATTTTCCGAAAGTGATGTTAAGAGAAATATTATGGCAATAAAATCTGATGCTGTTGGGGCAGACTGTATAAGCCGTAAAATGATTCTTCCTTTACTTAATCATATCGTACCTATTATTACTTTCATTTTAAATTCCTCAATTAATTTCAATCAGTTTCCTTCTTCCTGGAAAGATGGGCAAATATTTCCTCTTCCAAAAATATCTAGTCCGTCTTCTTTTTCTGACTATCGACCTATATCTATTCTTCCTTTCCTATCTAAAGTTCTGGAACGACTTGTACACCAGCAATTGAGTGCTTTCCTTTACAAGCACAATCTTTTAAATTCGTTTCAATCCGGTTTCCGTCTTAATCATAGTACGACTACGGCCTTAGTCAAAATCACAGATGACATCAGAGAAGGTATGGATGACCGAAGACTTACTGTGTTAGCACTACTAGATTTTAGTAATGCTTTTAATTCAGTGGACTTTGATATCCTGTCTGCCATAATATCTTCTCTTAACATATCTCCTGAGGTTGTTGACTGGTTTCGTTCTTACTTGTGTGGTCGCCGGCAACGCATTCGGATTGAAGATTCTTACTCCGATTGGTGCGCAGTTAATGCCGGTGTTCCACAAGGTGGCGTGTTGTCTCCTCTCCTATTTTCAGTTTTTATTAATTCTATTTGTCTCAAAATTTCTTCTCGCTACCACCTATATGCTGACGATTTGCAAATTTATACTGTGACATCTGTGGCTGATTTACCACGAGCTGTAGAAAATATAAACAAAGACCTCTCATCTATAGCCACATGGAGTAAATCGTACGGACTTAATTTAAACGCTGCAAAATCGCAGGCAATTATTGTTGGCAGTCAAAGGTTGTTGTCAAAAACTAAGTCAATGCAAATACCAGCAATTTTGCTAGATGGTGTTCAGATTCCTTTTCATGATAAAGTTAAAAATCTTGGTTTAGTAATTGATCAGCATTTGTCATGGGGCCCGCAGGTGAGTGAACTAAGCCGGAAGATATTTGGAGCTGTTGCTTCTCTTCGCAGATTGTGAAACTTTCTTCCGATTCCTACCAAAATTGCGCTAGCAAATTCACTCCTTTTACCAATTCTTGATTATGCTGACATTTGTTATCTCGACATAAAAGAGGAGCACTTGAATAAACTTGAGCGACTCCAAAATCTTTGTATACGGTTTATTTTTGGCCTTAGAAAATATGACCATGTTTCTCAATTTCGTAAAAATCTCAAGTGGCTTCCAATCCGATTCCGCAGGAATACTCATATTCTTCATCTTCTCTACTGCGTGCTATTTAATCCTTCAACTCCTATCTATCTGAAAGAGCGTTTTGAGTTTCTGAACGATTCCCATGATCGTTCACTTCGCTCTGTCCAGAACTTCCTCCTTAAAATTCCTACTCACTCTTCCTGTTTCTTCACAAATTCTTTTACGGTAAAAGCCGCTCGATTATGGAATTCTATTCCTTTAAGCATTAGGTGTGCTAAAAGCCTAGATAAATTTAAAAGTTTATTAAAAGATTACTATTTATCTCTTTAAGCCTTTCTCCTTTAGTATTTCCCCTTTCTCTCTTGAGTCCTTTTCCCTAATATCATTATTATTATTATTTCATCTGTTATGTTTAATGTAGATATTATTCTATATATTATTTGGTTGTTTTGTTGAATGAACATGTATGTAAGTATGTATATATGTATGTATGTATTTATGTATGTATGTATGGATTGGTATATATATATCTATTTATCTATAAGTATTTATATACATAAACGTGTCAATGCAAGTACACCGCCTACCGTCTTATGAACATTTACTCCTTTTCCTCAAGGTTGCCTGGAAGAGATCGCTTCCAGCGATAAGGTCGCCTGCTGTACATCTTTTCTTTGTGTTTTTTTTTTGTATTTTAATTTTCGGTGTGCAATAAAGAGTATTATTACTATTATTATTATTATTACTTTTTGATATTGATGTAGGACTGATTTTCCGTGATAATATAACAACAGTATATCTATTGTTTGCTATAACAGCGATAACTTATCAAAATATTTTTTATTTGGGAGAGTTATAAACAAATCAATAAACATTTTTTGGAAAATCTTATTGAAATAGACATTATTATCGATACAGAGGCCGAATCTATAGTTTTTAGAATTTTTGTCTGTCTGTCTATCTGTTACCGCATCAAAACTACTGGACAGATTTTGATGAAGTTTGGTATGGTGATAGCTGGTTATCCGGGTCAACATATAGGATACTTTTTACCGCGGAAAAATATCTTATTTCTGATAAAACATACAAGAACTGCAATGTAAGAGTATACTAATATGTAAAACCTAAGAATTTGGTTTTTGGTCATCTGAACGCGGGCGGAGCCGCGGGCAATGCTAGTATCCACTAAATTCCAATAGAATCCTCCTCCATTCCTTAATGGCGCGCTGTAGGAGCACTTACATGCGTGCTAAATCACGACGCCCTGGCGGCTAGCCTACTGAGGTAGACCTGTTGTCATCGTTACATTCACGACGACTTCAGCAATTAAAAAAAAGCAGCTTAATTTTAATACTTAAATTTACGCGAATACTTGACATTTTAAATAAATCTATCTTTTCGGAGTTTTTCGCGGATTTATCGATATATTAATAAATCCGAGTAAAATACTAAGAGATAGTTTTATTTTAAACACCATATTTTTTTTGAAAACTTCTTAATTCGCCGGGTAATTTTTTCAACTGTGGCGTATAATCCCCTTAGAACCATAGTTGAACTACGAACATTTAAAAATAAATTAATTGAATTGGCAAACTTAATAAGCCATTCTCAAATTAGATAGATTATAAATTGTTATTTGTAATCATTGACATTTTACGCGAACGGCTTCGCAGCTTCGACAAGATAGTTAAGAAGATATTATAGTAAATATATACCTAAAATAAAGGTATCAAGAAAAAAATATTGGATACGTTTGTGTCTAAATAAAATTAAAGGCAAAGTTTAAGTTTATGAGACCAGAAGGAAAGATAAAACAAATATTTTTAATTTTCCAATTACTCAATAGCAGTCTTTGTATTCGTCGTTAAACTGCACGTAATGACGAATTCAATCCCATTTCGTGTCTGTAGGATATTTTAGAACTACGTATTACAGTTGTTATGATTTATGTTATTTAAGTTAATATTCGTAATAACAGAATTTTATTTAGTAGGAGGATATGATAACAATATGCATATTATGTACATATGTATATACATATATGTATAAATTTTCATCTCTCGAGTTTAAAAAAATATATTAGTAATCTATATATTATGTACAAACATATAGAAAAAGACAAAATGTTCATTCAGTATGTTTTATATGTTTTCTCTCCTCTGTTTGTCAACCGATTTTTTTTTGTTTAACACAACAACACAATTCCAAAAATTTGTTATTAAATTTTATATGGCATTTTCTCAAATTTTCAATAATTATGATGAAATTTGAACATTCTGTGAACTCTAGTTATAAGTAATTTAAAATAATATTTTAAAATGTAATGACTAGATTAAAAAGAACAAATTGAGCATGTTTTGGAAGTTTTTATTAATCCCGATTATTTAATGTCACACATTTCTTTATAAATTGTCACATTATTTTTTTCTAAATTAAAAATATTCTTTACAGCTTTTAAATGCAGAGAAGTCTGGATGAATAGTGTACTAGAACGAGCTTTCAATCTAAGCCTGGACGCTTCGCTGCTGCTTGTGCCGTTTTTCATCATGTCATTCGCATATTCTCTTATTGTCACAAAGCTCTGGAGAGGAATGCGTAACGAAATCCAACATAACTTCAATTGGCAGAAACATTGTGAGTAGTTTTTTGTTATATTTAATTAAAATTAAGTAAAAAAAACTCAATACAAGTTATTTTTCTAAATAATAAAAAATAAATAATTTTCATCAAAGTTGGTATAAAATATCTTCAATATATGGACAATAATAGCTAAAACAGGTTTTTTTAAATAAATAACTCACTGAAGCAGCAACGTAGAAAGCTTTAATATAAATTGTTTCTGTCCCATTTTAATAAAGCTGCAAGGTTCTCAAGTGCAATCTTTATGAACACTAAGAACAGATAAAGCTTAATAAGCTAGTAAAAGAAAGGAGAGATTTAAGGCTTCTAAAAATATATATTTTTTTGACGACACGTTTGGCTTAGTTTGTAGTGACCCTACTTGCTGTGGTCGCGGGTTCGAGTCCCGCTAGAGGCATTCATTTGTGTGATGAGCACGAATGTTTGTACTCCAGTCATGGGTGTTTATATTTATAATGTGTTTATATTTATTATATGTATATATTTAAAGTTATATATAAGGAGTGTATCAACCATCTCGTATCCATAACACAAGCTTTGTGCTTACCATGGAACTAGAGGGCGCTGTATGTTAATGTTCCAACATATTTATTATTTATTTATTTATATTTAGTTTTTTTTAAACAAATAATGAACATTTTTTTATATCATAGTATCTAAATATTTATATAGAATATAAATTATATCTTCATAAAGATACCTTAATTTTTGTTATGTTTCTAAATTATTAAGGGATTTACTAAAAATGGACGACCGGTTATTAAATATACGTCATCCCTCCGTTTCCATGGTATTTTATACATGATGAAGAAAACAATGTATTTTGTAAATATTCAGTTTATTATATAAATAGCGTTTGTCCGCGGCACCACCCATATACTTTATTTAAATGCTAGCGACTCACCCTCGATTCACTCGGGTTCGTTCCTAGGTGATTCTTTAAATTGACCGATTTATGAACCGATTGAAATAAATCAAATACTAAATGTTAAGTAAAGCTTTACACTACGCTACATTAGTGAAAACCACACCCAAATCGGTTAAGCCGGTTTTATTAGATTTTTTTATTAGATTAGTGCACAGAAACGTACAGACAAACAGACAAAAATTCTAAAAATTCTAAAAATCATTCTTTATCATCTATTGCGTTAATAAATAATAGTTTTTTCTCAAATACCTTCCATGTACAGACAGACAGCGATAAATTACAATTTTATTATAGAATAGATAATTTCTTTCGTCTTACTTTATTTAAATAAAAAATATTTTTTATTCCGCATTAATTATGATAAAAGGACAAAATTTTTAAAAAGCGTAATAGTCACAAAATATTTCTTACAATTTTCCTAAGAGGAACCAATGCGAAATTTCATCTACCCAAGGATATTACCAATAGCTGTTAAAACGATCTACATTTATAAGAAAAGTGAAGAATAATGATCCGACGCCACCTTTCCTCAATTCCAGACTCGTGACTCATTTATTTTGTTCACCACGACCCACTACTCTTTATTAATAGAATTTGATTAATAATAACTTTAATTTCATAATTTTATCTGTACTAATATTATAAAGAGACAGAGTTTGTTTGTTTGTTTGTTTGTTTGTTTGTTTGTTTGTTTGTTTGTTTGTTTGTTTGTTTGTTTGAGCGCACTAAGCTCAGGAACTACTAAACTGATTTGAAAAATTCTTTTTGGATTAGACAGCCCGTTTATTGAGGAAGGCTGTATATAAGCTATATATCATCATGCTTACTACCCTCGGGAGCGGAGCAGTAATCATAAATGTCAACAAATCGGGCAGACTTCCAATACATTATTGTAAAACTGATGTTTATAATGAAACAAGTTTACCGCGGGTGAAACCACGGGGCACAGCTAGTCTTATATGTAATTACATATTTAGTATGCCATGGACACAGTAGTCGAATTGGTCAGTTATGATAATATTGAAGTTCTATGTTGCCGAACTTTATTACTACAAGCAAATATTGTAAATTGAAGTAAACGAACATCTGCCAGATGCCGTACTTTCTCTTTACGTTAACCGTATGGTTTTATGGCTGCAAATCATAGGTCCTGGGTTCGAATCCCTGGTTAAAAATAGTTACTGGGTTTCCTGTCATGAAATACATATTAGCAGTTAGAGAAGTCGGCGATGTTTACAACCTGCACCTCGGAAAGCACGTTGAGCTATCGGTCCAATGCTCTACTCTAGGTCGAGTGGTCATCAGATCTAAATATCCCCCATATTACATAATGGAATAGAGAGTGTTTGTACATAATGTCTGCACACACACTATAATATGTCCCGTGCATGGCAAGTCTCAACAAGATTATACGCCTTAAACAGAATAAGTTGGGTCCACCATAATATTTTAATTATTCGAACACAGTCTCACTTCATTCGAGTGTGTCCGTCGAGGTCTCTTTGCCATACATTTTATTTAATTATTTCAAATGGTTTAGGCAGCTTACGCCAATAAATCAACTCAACTACCACTTTTCTTCCGATTTCTATTAAAGTTATTTATTTTTTTGGCAGTAAACCCATTTTTATCGGAATAAAAAATAGCCTCTAGCAATCGGCGCAATCATAGATTCTTATTTAGGATTAGTAGTTTTAAAGGTTACCCTCTAAATAAATACACACTAACAAACTTTACGACTGTAATATTAGTGTAGGTTTATTTCTGTCTAAGCAATTAATTATAAGTAGAAAAAAATAAAACAGCATAAAGATACAGATTTTTATTTCATTTTGTAACATCCGACGTAACGATGAACGATGGTCTCTGTTTTATAATAGAACATCTGGTTTGGAAGTAGTCGCTGAGGTTTTTATCAGTACTTAACGAGATTAGATATGTTATTTAAGTTGACTTTGATCATTAACGGTTTATTTTTAAGCAATTTTCACATGTTATTGCTTATTGCAAACGAGCCTTACTTTGCTCGAGTGTGTCCTTAAGTATCTGTTGTATCGATAATATTATACACAGACAACGCCACCTGTTGGCAAATTTATTACTCACAGCAGAGTATAACCATTTTAATTTTTTTAATTTTTTAACGTCGGGAACCAGAAATCAAAATATATCTGCGAAAATATCACACAGGTCCTGAATAGCATTTGCTGTTTACATGATTTTTATTCTTTTCAATAAAGGTTAAATCGTGGGTATTAAAAACTAATTGAATTTTATCAATGGCTAATTGCATTCTCTTTATTAAGCCCTTTTCAAGATATTACATTTGTAAATTACAAAACCAATAACCATATATTCGTAAATGTAAGACAGGTATAATTATACATTTGCTTCGAACTCAATCTAAAGGAATATTCGGTTTCTTAGAATCCTATTGAATGGTGTTGGGAATAAAATGGAAGCATTATTTTGAAGTCGATAAATAAGAAGTGTTTTACACCTTAGGGCGACCTTAATTGAACGTAGGTACGCAAAATGGATCCAGCCCACAAAAACCGTTTTTTGAGTTACTTTCATAAAGTTAGAAGTTACTTAAAGTAGAGTTACCCACATATCAACTTATGTATATGCAGAAAGTTGATGAAATACCCAATATTTAACAGGAATTCTAAAAAAAACGACGGTATTTTTATTTTGATATTACCAATTTTACTAAAACCCCAATTTTTTCAAAAGTAAGTTTCTTTGGTTGGATCTATTTTGCATTGTATTCAGCTCTTTTTAACGTCCCAATGCTGGGCACGGGCCTCCCTTCTACACGAGGAGGATCAGGCCCTAGTACACCACGCTGGCTAAGTGCGGATTGGTGGACTTCACATGTCTTTTAAAAACTTGCTAGGTTCTCTCAGATATGCAGGTTTCCTCGTCAATTCTGATCATAAATATTTTTTTGGATTGTATTATAATGTGTTTTCCCGTGGGAATTAGATAACCTCCCGCGGTAAAAAAAAGTAAAAATAGCCTAAGCCACTCTCTAGCCCTCCAACTATCTTCACACAAAGAATCACGCCAATCTGTCACTCCGTTTCGACGTGAAAGAAAGACAAACAAACAACACAGAAAGAATGTATAATATAAGTATTACGCTCACAATCAAAGTCAAAATCGGCCTCTAAATATTCTAACTGACAAAATCTAAATATTATAACTTTGGATATTATGATGTTATGTTTAAAAGTTCATAATATTCTCTAACATTCCTTATTTTTAATTAATTTTCCTGAATAAGTGTAAGAAAAATGATAACTAAGCACAAATTCTAAAACATAAATTAAGGTTTTTGTAGTTTCACGAAATAGTAAAAACTTTTGCGAAAAAGAAGAATTTTCAAGACTGAATTATAAAATAGTTAAATATATTCATGGAGACATCATCAGAGTGTCACTGATGAAAACAAATAAAAGGAGCAAACATTTATATGGAAATCTCGCATAAATTGTAAATTTATGTTATTCGTGCAATTTTATTTTGCATGTACAGTTTATATGATTTCGAGATAGCAGGCATTGAATAAAATTTTCTTTTTTTTTTTGACAGTTTTCATATTCAAACTAAACAATAAATTTTAGTATAGGTTTAACTACTACATAGAAAATTTCTACTGCAAGATTATTTTAAATAATATTTTAGGAAATATATCTAAATAATGAATGTACCAGTATAAAAATATTCCAGTACTGAGTATATTCCATCATATTAATTTATAGTAGAGAGATCTCGGACGTTTTAAATTTATTTACATTACATTAGGGCTTGAGGGCAAATGGATAGTTAAATTCTAAATTAACAATTCAAGTGATACTTTAATCTATCTTTTATATCATAGCTTTTGAATTGTTAGGCCGATTTTAATGCACATTTTGGAAAGCAAGCTTATTCGGTGTTACATAAAAAATTTAATAAATTGTGTTTGATAGAAACAGCTCATCGAAAAAACCTAACACTATGCTAACTACAATAATTTTATAAAAAATATTATATTTATTAGAGATCTCTTAAAGAGATA